CCTTTACCGAGTGCAAATGGCTTTTTGCCGAGTGTAAAAATGCTCGGCAAAGCCGCGGCCTCCAGCAGTGATTGATCGATCAATTGATGGCGCCGCGGCCGCGCTAGCTCGTTGGAATAAAGCATCCGACGACGGTCCCCTTCTGCTTTTTCTTTATTATTATTATTTGAGGAATATGACATTTCTCTCTTTTATTTCTTTTCATTTCAAATTCAAAACTCGTGCTCATTTGGACACCGGCCGGCCAATGTATACAAGCATGTGTGGAACAAATAAAAACAAGTTTATTCTACTTTGTTTTCTTTTTATTTATTTATTACGAGTAAGTCCTACACATATATACGTACGTAATCTTTTCCTCCGATGATCATGCAACAATCCAAACAACTAGTAACATGCATGCAAAACATTGTCGTCAAAGTCTCTTGTGAGATATGTCCCAGTTCTAAATCCGTAAATCGTAAGTTGGTTTAATTAGTTTAGTTTTCTCCTAATAAGTGTGTGAGATACCAATGGCCGTGGTACGTACCACGCGTTGGAATAAAGCATTCAACTGTCCCTTTCTTTTCCTTTATTAGCAGAGAGATAAGAAGAAGAAAAAAAATGGACCTGCGAGGGTATGATCACCCTAGGCATTGCATTAAGAAGAAGATCTTCTCACGTAGGCCCAGAAAACCCCCGAACCCCTACCCCACCTTTACACAGCGGCACCATCGCCCTGTGAGAACGGGGCGGTCCTTAGACCTGTGCTTTGACGTGGGACAGACGAGAGGATTTTTTTTAACCCAGCCTAAAATTCGCTTCCACGGGGAGTCGAACCCAGGACCTAAGGAGTGTCGCCGGGACGCTCTAATCAGTTGGACTAGATGTCCTTTGGCTAGCAGAGAGATAAGATCTCTCTCTCTCTCTCTAATTCACACGCTTATTTAATTTGAACACCAATATACAAAAGATTCGTGCATTTGTTCAGGGAAAAAACAAGTTACTAATTCTGGTTTTTAAGCCCTACCTCCCTGGGGCGGATCTAAGAAAATAGGTTAGGAAGGGGCTTCTTCCATCATCTTCTATCTCTAGCCCCCTTTCTTTTAAGTTTTCATCACATCTCGGTGCTAGATTCACCCCTGCTTCCTACTCTAATCCTGATATAACAACTAGATAGTACTCCGATCCACCCATTGTAAATTGTAAGTCGTTTAGCTTTCTATAGGTACATAGTTTTTACTATATATATCTAGACAAAGGGGTTGTTTGGTTGCACGCCAACGTCCGCCACACCACACATGTGGCCGCCACCAACCATTGGCCAGTGTTTGGTTTGCTTGCAAATGATGGCAGCCACACGTTTCTCTAGTTCATTTTCTCGCCACGGTTGTGGCGGCCAAATACTTCGCCACAGGCATGGGCAACGCCACAACTACTGTGGCAGCCTTTGGCCGGGGACCAAACAACCCTATAGTGTATATCTATTTAGCCAGGGCATAGCAAAAGCTATGCGCCTGCCTAGAAAAGGCAAAACAACTTACAATTTAGAACAGAGGGAGTAACATTTAGTACTTCGTCGAACCCTTGAGATCCTTAGCTCCTTGTAGGTGAGCTTTGTCCGGGGACATATGGCAGAGGCTACACCGAATCCCTTGCATTGACAAATAAGCGCAAAGTCATACATTCTGGATCTGTCACCTCAGGGTCCGTGGTCCATCGCCATTGAATAGGTAGACCACAATGTGAAGGGACTCATCTTGAGGAAGAGGGGTACCGAGAGAGATCTAAAGAAAGAGGAGAGGCGCCATGGGTGAAGAATGAGATAGGGAGAGGAGTGGGGGCAGCAGGGTGAGCGGAGTGGGAGAGGAAAACCCTAGTACTTTATATTGGTCACGGCCATGTAGGTTGGACCGGCCTGCTAATTGGTCCTCTGGTCTATATTTTTGTGATGTGGCCCACGTAGGCATTGGCTCTGATAAATCAGATTTACAAAAGGCGGTTATACATAAAGTTTGTCTCTGAAAATGAACCTACCTCTTTAAGGGTCTGTTTGATTCCCTCCTCTAAAATTTAAAGCTCTAAAAACTTTAGAGTACTTTAGCTCAATTTTAAGATCTAAAGCTCTAATGTGAGGTGGTCTAAAGTTTAGAGCTAATTTTAGACCACCTGTTTGGAGACTTTAGCTCTAAAGTTTAGAGAAAATGATTCATAAAGACTATAAATAAACTAAATTGTCTTTTAAAAATCAATTTTATAGTAGTGATTGAGATCAAAGCCTCTCCGTAACCATCCGTGACTCATGTGCTAGCTTTTCCACGTATGTCGTGAGTTTTGAAGATAATAGTAGTCGACAGTAAGACATAGACAACAATATAGTTAATGTAAATGAAAAAAAAAAGATATTGAACGTATGGGAGAAACGACGTATAGACTACATTTTTTCTCCTTACTGCTGTGCACGCGCCACAAAGTGGACCACGCAAACCAATAGCGCGCTCTTCATTCAATAAAGTTGGACTGAACAGGCTGTTAGCGTCAACATCTCTTTGCTAGTTATATAGGGTCTGTTTGTTTGTGTTCCTAAAGCTAGCGTGGCTTATATTTTAAGCCAGGATAGCCTAAAACAGGCTCCAGCAATGCAATCGGTTGGTCTTGACTATGATAATAGAATCACCTTGCATAAGAATAGAGGTGGACTTACCACCATCCACCAACAGCAACACCATGTTCGGCAAGCAACAAATCCACACAATCCCCACCGCGGCCACGCCAGTCGCCTCCGATGGCCGTCCGGCACGGGTCTCACATCATCAAGCTTCACGATTCCAACCCACCCCTCCTCGGCCGGGCGCCGGGGGCCGCGCCGGTCGCCGTCCCTATGCCCTCGCGCGACGAGGGCCTTCTCGCGAAGCATCCGCGCGCCGCCCCCTTGAGCGCCTCCGCTGCGCACCTCGTCTTCGCCCTCATTGTTGGTCCGGGCTGTTTCCGTCGCCGCCTCCAGGGCGCTCGCCGAGCAAGAGGGCGAGGTGCAAGTCCTTGCCGACCAGGCGGCGCACATTGACCGGCTCCAGCTGCGCGCCCTCGTCAACCGGCTCTAGGGCCTATAGGAGAAGCTCGCACGCAAGTGCGGTGGAGGCAGGGTCAGAGGGAACCAACAGAGGCGGGCCAGCGGGATCCAGCGGAGGCGGGGCTGGCGGAATGCGGCGAAGGCGTGGGCCTAGCCGAATTCGACGAAGGCGTGGGGAGGCGTGAGCAGGGACAACGGCGCAGCACGAGAGCGAGGAGGGAGGAGAGCGGAGGAAGGGAGTCGCCGGTGCAGGGGCAGGGGCAGGGGCAAGGGACGACGGCGTAGCACGAGACCGAGGAGGGAGGTGAGCGGAGGACAGAATGCGCTAGCCAAGGTGGCTAGTGGGGAATGACTTGGCGATCCGCTTCCAGGAAGCCTGGCTAAGGGGTCCTCCTTGACTTAGCTAAACCTGATTATGTGCCCAAACCAGGCAACCAAACATCTCGCAGCTGGCCTACTGGAACCTGGCTAGAGGTTAGCCGGGTAACCAAACAGCCCCATAAGGTTTATATTTTGCATGCTTGTGGCCACAAAAATGATCGAGATTGACCAGCTGCAACGTATTTTAGGTACATGAACGAGATATACTACCTCTTTTTTTTTTTTGAAAAACTTTAACTTCAACATTCAGAATAGTAGTGTACCTAGCTAGCACCCGTCTAACCTGCACTACTATTCTGTAGCTCTTCCCAACGGCCATCGTTCAACTAAACCATGAGAGAGAATAATAAAAAACAACCAGCATGAGGAACATATATAAAGCCTATTTGGCATCACTCCTGCCGAAGAGTATAGCTCTCGTTTTGGTATAAAAAATAGCTCCAGCATCTCTCGTATGCTAAAAAACGGTTCCTCCTCCAAAAAGGTATTGAGCCGTGCCAATTCAAACACGCCCGTCTTGCTCCATGGAACTAAACTACAAGAGAATTCAAAAATGAAGTCTTTTGAGTCTGAGGGAGTAGAAATTAACAATTACTCCATCCATTTCAAAATATAAGTCATTTTAAGAATTTGGAGGTCAAAGCATCTCAAGTTTGACCAAAATTAGTTAATAATTAGCTAGCATCCTAAGACGAGTCATGAGATATGTGTAGCCATGGAGAGAGAAATGAGAAGAAATGTGTCTCCGTGAGCCGCATGCCCAATTAATTGAATAGTTTGACAATAATAATATAGCTGAAAAGTCTACATAAATAAAGGTAAGGAACGAAGCGTACATATGTGACAACGGCATTATTGCCACATATGGAAAATATGGAGGCCGTTTGCATATGTACATGTATTGCCTCGTTCTTTCTTCTTGTCCTTGTGAAAAACAATACTAAATTCTTTCATTTTACTCTTTTTCTATAAAAACAGAGATCTTGCAGATTCACCAAAAATCATAGACTTATTAGGATTTCCTCACTCATGGTCGACAAGCCACTATGTAGCTTCGCGTGAAAACTTAAGCCGCAACCATAATGAAAATTTGATTATAGTAGTGCTTTTTCAAATTTTTGTGGGTACATATGCACCGACAAGCCACTATGTAGCAAAAACCATCTAGACTTGGAGACGTGCTCGCAACCCCTTGCATCATCTAATAGATCGGTCAGATAATTTAATCCATGTTTATTTTATTCTATGTTCTTAAAAGTAACATAATAAAACCTTCCACCAAGAATGACCAAACAAATTTCACATTCCTAGTTTTTTTTAGCAAAATTTCACATTCCTAGGTGGAGAAACTCAAACAAAGAGGCCCTAAGCCCGCGTACAATCTGGCCTCTAGCCCACATGCGACCCTACTACGCTGGCTACTTGTGAACACGCACGAACGGGGTCCCCGCCTTCACTTACACACTTCTCGAACGTTATCTTGCCTCGGCAGTCGGCACTGCCGCCGTGACATCTGCGTCCTGTGAGCTCCTCCTCCTCGCCACTCGTCGACTGCTCTGGCCGGCCGGCCATGGAGGCCTACGTTGGTGCCGCGCCCGCGGCCGGCGTGTTCGCGGGCTACGGCACCGCAGCCACGCGCCCCTTCATCCTCCGCCTTCGCCGCCGCCGCCGCGTCGGCGGCGGCGGGTCTCCGCGTTCCAGCGCCGGGCGAGTGCGCCTCGTCCGGGCGCCGCCGCCGCGCGCCGCCGGGGACGCGGGGGACCTGCCCCCGCTCGACAAGTGGGACATTATGGAGCTGGATTTCGGCAGGTTCCTCGGGGAGGACCCCAAGCTTACCCTCGCGAAGGTCCGCCCCGTTTCTTGCTTCAGATTATCTCGTGGCTGTAGCTAGATAATATGATGACCAGCGTAAAAATGTCGTCTTGCTCACTATTTGAATGGAAGTTTAGGCGTGCTTTGGGGTACTTTTGGTGTTTAGTTCCACCTACTAAAATTGAGTCCATGTCACATCGAATGTATGCATACATGCGGAGTATTAAAATTAGACTAATTACAAAACTAATTGCATAGATTGAGACTAATTTACGATATGAATCTATTAAGCCTAATTAGACTCATGTTTAGTCTTTCTAATTAGTACCTAAATACCCGATGTGACATCTCCTAAACTTTAGTCCCGGATCCAAACACCCGCCGCATTGGTTACTGTTTCAGTTGTAGTCAATCCAATAAAGAATACTGTGACATGCGTGGTAATTTTTTCATATACCTGACCAGTATAGATTGGTCCTACTGGGTTAGTTAAATTTCTCAAACACAATCCAGCTAATTTTGTAACAACATAAACCTTTTTTTTTTTGGCTTCTCAGTAGTATTGCTTTTGAAAAGAATGACGACTCCAAACAATAAAAAAGGTAAATTACAGGTGCATGATGAAGTTTGAATTCCATCGGAAACTAGCTTCTGTTTACATGATGCTATCTGCTTTGCTAGTGTGTACCGAAAGCATGGTTACTATCACTTCATTTGACTTGCATATTTTATGGGATGACTCTTTCAGATTCTTCTTAAGAAGTCAGATCCGGATGCCTCATCCCTCGATGTAGAGAAACTAATTGCCACAAAAAAGGACAAGCTAGATGATATTCTGAGGGAGTGCATGGAAGCTAATAAGAAGGACCAGGGTTTCAACACATCAGAAAGTGGATCCCCTTTGAATACGACACGTCCGACAACAAGCAAGCCGACTGAAAGCAAAAGTTCTTTGAATATTTCCAGGCCTGTTATGGGCAAACCTATCCAAGACGGGCCTCCATTGACTTTACTTCGACCAGCAGGAAGCAAACCGAAGAAAGATGAACCTTCTCTGGCTCCGTTGCGACCAGTTGGAAGCAAAGCAAATGAAGATACACCTTCATTAATTTTGTCGCGGCCAATTGGGAGCAAACCAAAGGTATGGGGCACTCCGATACAGGATAGTTGGCCCAGTAAAGAGAGTTTAGCTGCTGCAACAGAGCTCAGTGAGGTGGGGAGCATCTCAAGAACAAGCGAGGTGGATGTCACCTTGCGGAAACCCACCGTGTATCAGAGTGAGGATGATGATTTGAAGTCGAAGCTTAAAATCAAGCCAAATATTAACCTGAAAATGAGGAAAGATATGAACGAGGACTTAATGAACATTTCTCTCCTTCAAAAGCCAGATGTTGCAAAAGACACTTCTAATCCAGAGCAGGACAATGCCTCTGCTAGCCCTGCCACAGTTTCTGCTATAGAGGATAACAGCGAACTTGAGCCAGAATCAAATGGTGAGGTACAATGCCCCCAAACAATACCCAAAAGTTAAACAGTTCTTTTTGAAGCTGATGATGCATATGTTCCAAATTTCAGGTCTTGATGAAAAATTAGTAACTGAAAATGTTCATGAATCATCTGGGCTTGATGACGATTCTACTGCAGGTAAGGAAGGCATGAAGTAGATGTAATTTGTTTTCTTTTCAACTATTATGCTAATATTATGTTGGTGTTTTCAAGGACTACAGCCATCAGGTCAAACTTTCATTCAAGAAACAAGTACTTCTGCTGGACCAGTGGATAACCAATCAGCTACCAGCAACAATTTCTCTATGCAGGCTTTCTTGCAAGGAAAACCTAAAAGGTTCTTACTTCAGGAACTATGCAGTTATATTTTTAGCACATAACTTTTATCACTAGATATCTGGATCCTTATTTGAAGATCACATGGAAAATATTGCTGAAATTGTTGAAAAGCAAGGATTTGTACAGTGGTTATGAAAGTTCTACTTCACACCTGTATTTTCTCATCATGATATTCACTTACTTTTCATAACTTTGTAAAGTTATCTAGTACACATGCGTCTTGCTATTGCTGTGCTAATGCCCTGAAACCTTCTTGTTTAAATAACTTTTACTCTTTTACGAACATGAAATGTTCCTTACCATGTTCCGTGCACATTTATTTGCTTACTCCACACTCATGTACTTGTGATTGCATGTAGGTGATTATGACATGTACACATCTACCATTTTGGTAACATAGTAGGAACATCATGTGGCTGGAATAATTGAGCATTCCTTTGTTCCCTGCTTTTGTGCTTTTCAAAATAATTGTATCATTAAGGTTTCATGCATGCTATTATCTTACAACTAACATGGCGTTTATTACTTTGTAGAGAAAACCAATCTGCTGAAATATTGCCATCTGAAGTAGATGAAAAGATGAATGCTACTGATAATAAAAATTATGTTGATGATGGGGGAAATGTCTTACCATCAAAACTGGAGGTAATTTCCTAATATTTGAGTTAGCCTCTAAAGGTTTTGCACAACAACAACACTTCTTAGAGTGTGGATATAGCTTCAATGGCATTAGGTGTTCTCCTTATAGGGCTGTACTTGACCATTACATTGAACTTAAGTTCCTGAGTCACTAATGCAGGACATCACAGAGAGTGACTGGACAAGGTTAGAGCATTACTCAAGTACTGGAGAAAAGGTTGAGGTGGAGCTGATAAATTGCAGTGCAAAGGGATTTGTTGTAAGTTTTTAGTTAGGTTTCGTATATTTTCTTATTTTATGAAACTATAGCATTGTTCTTTTCTGAGCCCTGTTATGTTTTCCTTGCCAGGTGTCACTTGACTCACTGATAGGTTTCTTACCATACCGTAATCTTGCTACAAAGTGGAAATTCTTAGCCTTTGAGACTTGGTTAAGAAGGAAGGGTGGCGATCCTTCCTTGTATAAGCAGAGTTTGGGATTAGATGATAATTTTGAGGTTAATGACATGAACATAGAACCAGAATCTAGCTCAGTTTCCAAAATAGCTGGTGAGGATCAAGAATCTGTGTCATCTAAGCCGAAGTTTGAAGATCTTATTCGAGCATACAACCAAGAAAAATCCAAGTTTTTATCATCATTTATTGGTCAAGTATGCATCTGAATTTAGTGTCCTATCATTTTGTGTGCATTGATATTATCGTAGTTAGCGTGCTGTTGTTTCGCAGAGACTCCGAGTATCAGTTGTCCTGGCTGACAGAAACTCCAAGCGGATATTTTTCTCTATGAAGCCAAAAGAGAGTGAAGAATTTATCCAGAAAAAGAAAAACCTGATGGTACTTTCCTTGTTTATATGCTCCTGACTTTTATGGATATATTTATGCCATCAAACTTGAAAAATCGTCAACAAAACGTTGAATTATCTATCAATTTGGAAAGCACTGATATACAAGAGCAAGTAGGAGGGGAATCAAGATGTCTTGTATTTGAATATTTGACTCTTTCTTTCTGCATCACGAATTCATGACTGAAAACCACAACATTTTTGTAGTCCCACTCACAGCTGAAACGGAAAGACACTTTCTCTATTACCCTAATTGGTTTGCATGCTATTCACTACTTCCTTATTCTGCAGGCTAGGCTCAACGTAGGAGATATTGTTCAGTGCACTATCAAGAGATTTGTTTACTTCGGGATATTTGTTGAGGTAGATCCAGTTCCTGCTAGTGCTGTATGATTTTCATCAAATATTATCATCTGACTATTTCTTTCAAAGGTTGAAGGTGTTCCTGCATTGATTCAGCAGTGGGAAGTGTCATGGGATGACACCTTAGATCCAGCAGTTTCTTACAAAATTGGTCAGGTAATTCTGGCAGTTTGCTGTTGTGATCCTCCCTTTATTTATCATCTTCCTTTTTTATTTGTTGGCCTTTCAGAACAATATCTTACCTTTTTTTTATGAGTATGTCGAGGAAATGTGAGATAAAAACTCATAGGTTTTGTCACCTTTATCTGATTTTATCTTTTGTCTTTGTTTTGTTTAATACTGCTAAAATGCTCATAGTGCTATAGTTTCTGAGAATTGTTTTTTCGTTTTCAGGTTGTGGATGCTAAAGTTATTCAACTGGACTACAATAATAGCCGTATATTTTTGTCACTTAAAGATGTAAAGGTACTGGAGCATTCCTTTGATCCACATTTGTGAGTATGTTAATTGGTGGTTTCAATTATTCCTTTGTTAATTCTTGCACTGAACTCCAATGTGCAGCCAAATCCATCCATAGGTGCTTTGGAAGCAGTAATTGGTGAGGATTTATCACTTGGTGGAGCTCTTGAACCTGTGCAGGCAGATTTCGAGGTTTGCATTAAATTATGACCGACAATAGTGTAGCATGTACAATGAGGACCAAGCATTCCTCCTTTCCTGTATGGGCTCGTGTTACTCTGCCACTTGCGTCAGCTTGTGGTCTGTAGTTTCTTTTGTGCACAGATGGGTTTGTGTCACAGACTCGCGGTGCAGACATGCCTGTGTCATAGAGTCCATGGAAAACTTGGACTGCTCAATCTGAATTACCAATGGTTTTTTAAGCTTGGGAACTTCCCACATATGATCCAGCTCCTTTTCTTTGGTTGCCTTCAATCTAAGCTACATTTCTTATATTAATGGGCATGTCGAGTTTAAGAATGTCTGACCTGGATATCCCGTGCCCTGAAATGGTTTATGAAGCTTATGGTCTTGTGCCGTTTTACTCCTCTCTTTTATGTCTTCCGTCTCTTTGGATGATTCCATTTATGCCGCAATGTTCTTGTAACCCTTGGATGCATGATTGAATAATTTGTAGTGGCCTGAGGTAGATGCCCTTATGGAAGAGATGCGGAAAATAGAGGGTGTAAGAGATGTTTATAAAGGACTATTCTTCCAAAGCCCAGGGTTAGCTCCTACGTTTCAGGTAAGATGTGCACCTTGGTTCCTGGGACTACTACTACCCGAAAGTTTTTGTTTTTCTGAACAAAGATGATTTCTTGGCAGGTTTACATGGCACCTGTGGTTGGTCCGAAATACAAACTCCTGGCACGGTATGGAAACAATGTTCAAGAGGTAAGGATTCGAACCTCAGATAGTGAGTGGTTCAAATTAAACGAGATGTCCAACTCCAAGTAGATTAGAGACAGTAGGCTTTTAATAGTTAGTATTTTGTGTAGAAGTAGATTGAAAACGTACTATGGCTGGCTACATGGTGACATAATATATATACTATTTGCTGTTGTGCAGGTGATGGTGGAGACAACACTTGGGAAAGAAGAGTTGAAAGAGGCAATTTTGATGTGCACTAATAGGGTTAGCTGAATAGTTAGGATCTCCATGATGTGCATTTGATGGGGACCGATTTCTCAGGTTACTCATATGCATATATCATGGGATCTACATAAACATAGCATATATCATGGATCTCCATGACGCCCATGAATTTGATGCGTAGATGTATTTTATTTTCGCTTCTTCCTCCTGGGAGGGGCTGAAGCATATGCTTAGGTGTATGTACAGGAAATCCTGTGAGACCTGATAGTGTAGGCCATGGGCTCTTGTGCTCCTGCGCCAGAACAGAGCACGCTCTAGGGCAATGCATCCATGGACGAGGTGGGTTCTCCAGCTCTGTCTTGTCCGAGTATATATCTGGTTAAAATTTCTACGAAGAGATTGGCAAGATAGCTGGATTGGAACAGCATACGGATTATATCTGGTTAAAGACGTCACTGTCTCACTGATAAAGCAGAGAAGAGGCTTAATTTTGTTGCATGCCTGCAGATTTCTTTTTATCAGAATGGTGATAAAATTTGCGATTCATTTTGTGCAACAACCACGTTTTCATCGTGTCTCCACTTGAAGTTTCGTATGTTTAAAACCGACCAAAATGTCTTGGAATAGGAGTGTACGCTGATCTAACCTGCAATGGTACGGTAGAGACAATAATGTAGTTGTACCAAAATTTGGGACAATGTGCAAGAGGAAAGGACTTTCAAGCTCACAGACGAAATCAAACAGTAGACAGTAGACTATAACAAGTTCTTTTATGAAAGGAGTACTATATGGTCCTGGGTTATTTTTCTGCGTGCTACTCTCTTCAATCTTTACAACCTTTCCTTTGTAGAGAATAAATACGAAACTATTCTTTAAATCCCTGCAATAACACATGCAGAATCACGTGGTTATTAGCGAGAACTAAACCATACTCCCTCCATTCTAAATTTTAAGCAAGGTTCTAAATAGCGAGCTACAGCGCCGCTGTAGCGTTTTCATCAGGCTGCCGGTAAGATTTTGCATATCTTTTCTGCTGTCACAGCTAAGGCCGCTATATATGATGTTTAGAGTCGCCAAATAGGATAATTAGGGTTGCTATAGCTGTTTTAGTGATGATGAAGATTTGTGAAGAGGATGAGTTGAGGAGAATTGAGTCTCGAACTTGCTAAATAGGATAGCGTTAGGGCTGCTATAGTAGTTTTAGTGATGAGAAGATTTGTGAAGAGGATGAGTTGAGAAGAGTTGTGTCTTAAACTTTTGCTTGTCTCTTGTAAGCTATGTGTGCTTTTGTAGGGTGTTTCAAACTTTCTGTTTTTGTTTGTGATTGAGGTTGGGACCTTTGATGCACTTTGTATTTTGCTATGAGCTTAACCTATGATGTCCTCTTAATGTCTCTTGTGAGCTTAACGAATGATCTTATGGATTCATTTACTCTTTTTTATATTCATCTAGCTATTTATGATATGGACAAGTGTTTGGGTAAGGATGTTAGGCATATGTTAAAAAAAACTACTAATATCCACAAGTTTTTAGGTTATATAGGCTGATTTTTAGAAGGCAACATATTAGGTGCAAACTAACTAACTTATGTAAACTTAGAAACTATCAATCATGACCACTAGATACTGATCCAATGGATGGGGTGAGGAGACTTAAGCGCAAAAAAAGGGCCGGCGGGTGGGGGGCTTAAGCGCAAAAAAATTTCCTCTCATCCCATCTATTGGATCAGCATCTAGTGGTCCTGATTAGTAGTTTTCAAATTTACACAGGTTATTGGTTTGCAACTGATACGTTGCCTTTTTTAGAAACCATTAGACTGCTAAGAGCAGACGCAATGTTACTGGGGTTTCAAACATCTTATCAATGTTACTGGGGTTTCAAACATCTTGTGACTGACATAGAGCACTGATGCTGGAACTTGCTATTTCTTGCAATGGTAGCAGATATGTGTAAAACACGTGGGGCCCAATCCCAGTAGCTTTTTAGTTGCACGGCCACACAGAGGTGTTTGCTTCCTGACTCCTAAAATTTAGTCCATATCACATCGACTACGGTAAACATGTTTGAAATATATTAAACATAGATAATTATAAAACTAATTATACATATTGAGACTAAGTGAGATTAATTTATTAAACCTAATTATCCATGATTTTGAGACAAATTTGTGATATGTTAAATGAATTATTAAGCCTAATTAGTCCATGATTTAATAATATGATGCTACAGATAACATATGTTTATATGATTGATTAATTAGACTAATTTAATAGATTTTGCGACTAATTTTCTAATTTAAGCCTAATTAGTCTATGATTTAACAACGTGGTGCTATAGTAAACAAGTGCTAATGATGGATTAATTAGGCTTAACTAATCATGACTTCGGATAATTATTTTTTTATTATTAATATCAAACATCCGATGTGATCCAAAATAGTTTTATTATATGATATAGATATGATATCACCTTCTAAACTTTAATCCCTATACTGAAAACCTATAAAAATTTCTACTCACTCATCCAACTGAAATAATATTCTAGCCACTCAGCACCTATGCCTCAACATTCCTCGATGCCAGATTTTTCTAACTGAGCATTCCAACTTGCAATGGGAAAATCGATGCTCCAACTTTCTCTCTCTTATCCGAGCAACGCTTTTTACAACACTGCGGTTGCTCTTAGCAGCCGCTATAGTGGTCTAAGCTTTTCTAGGAGCGCTTCGCTAAAGGTCATGACCCGCTATCTAGAATATTGATTTTAAGTCATTGCAAGTTTGTGACTTTTTTTATGTATATACATTGCGTCTTGATATACGCTATGTTATACATAATAAAGTTATCTATGCAAAGTAAATTATGTATATAGAAAAGTCAATCACGACTAGAATGTGTAAAAACGGATGGAGTACATGGCAACCGCAACGTATGCAAGGCATGAATGAGTTTGGGCACTTTGCGCGGCTGCACAACATTGTGATTATGATTTATGAACAATGGCGATGGCAGTAGCCAATAGCGAGGGTTCAGTTCAGCTTCCTGGTTCCAGCAGATGCAGATTGCAGAGCAGCAAGCAGCCAATCCACAGAGCAGAGCACGTCCAGTCCACGGCTTGAAACCGTCGTCGCAGAGATCCATCGGGTCGGACGGACGGGCCGCGCCATCGCCGCCGCCGCCGCCGCCGCCGCCTACAGACCTGGCCCCGAGCCATGTGCAGCAGCTTGGTGCGGTGGATCTTGCGGAACTTGCGGCGGAAGGCAGGGCCGGCGATGAGGCGGCCCCACTCGCTTGCAGACGAGGGCGGCGTTGACGAGGCTCGCGGGGTCGTCGGGCGGGAGGCGGAGGAGGAACTCCTCGACCAACTCGTCCATGAGCGCCGCCGGCGGCGGCATCTCGACTGGTGTGGTGGCTGGTGGGGGACAAGCGATCTGAGCTGGGCTTTGCCACTTCATATGCATATATGGACACAGATGGGCCTGTAGCCCGGGGTACGACGAGTTTAGGCCCGAGATGGGCCATGACTCTGTCGCGAGATTTTTCTTATACAACCACAAAAAATTGTCATCTAGTTTTAGACTAAGTCAAACATTCGTAAGTTTGATTAAATTTATAAAAAAAATATCAAGGTTTGTCTTTTTTACGCATCACAAGTATTAGTAACTTTTTTTATGTATAATTAGTCAAAGTTTAGATGAGTTGACTTCTCGAAAAGTGAAAATGATATTTCTTTTTTGGTTGAATTCAATGTTTGGGCCTTGTGATGAATAAGCCCGGATAAGTTCATTGTTCTTAATCCGACATCATTGTCCAAGTTTCACACGGATACCTAAAAAAGGAAAAAATAGGGCTTTGCATTTTTATTCATGACCTTCCCCACTTTCACTACCCCTCAACCAGCGCTCACGGATAGTGGCAATCTTGCCATCGAGCCACTCCACCTACCACTATTTCCCGCGGTCATGCTAAAAGTGGATTACGAAGATATGGTAGACACAGGAGCAGTTAAAACATCCTTAGCCATGATGGACAAACCATTGGATATGTCGGGCTTGTGCTCATGCCACGCCATTCATTGTCACAGTCCAAGTAGTTAACAAGTTCAGATGCATTAGAAACAGTAGAAGTAAGGCAACTCCTCGTTCACACGACGATTCTTCTTATTGTCCACACTCCTTCACTTCCCAATTGTCAAGTCCCTCACCAGCCATCATCCATCACCACTATTAGGAGCCTGCCAGTCATACAAAGCTCAAACTCCCAACCCCCAAGCCCTCCAACCCTAAGCCTAAGGCTTCTTCATCAATCCTAATATAATCCATCATGCCTCTAATCTAAGAGAGAGAGAGAGAGAGAGTAGGCAAACTTGCCTAGGGATGTCATGTCGACCACTACAGGTGCATGCCACCGACGACGTTAGAGCCTACTAGTATCCACTCTTTTCTCTTGCCCCACCTGATCAGAGAGAGAGAGAGAGAGTTCTCATATCTGAAATGAAGAACATCTCTGCTAGGCGAGGTTAATACATTATCGATTGGGCCCCACAATGTGGGTGGGAGGCCAAGTGTGTGGCCAACCACGATTAAGTATTTATATATATATATATATATATATATATATATATATATATATATATATATATATATATATATATATATCTTTAGCAACCATTATTTCTACAAACGAACAAACATGACATGCACCATATCATTCATACTTAAACTGCTCAGGCCTCAAAAGATAAGAAATTGACACATAAGGGTCAGTTAGAGGGTTCTTCATATGCGCTTAACGGCTCCAGCTCTAGATCTACTTGCTCCCCACCAAAAAACCACTCTTCATTGGTTGCACCAACTCGATGATGCAAATGGGCGCGAGCGGAGAGGCGTGACACAGGGATCACAAAGGGCAGGACGGGGCAGGGTGGAGGCCGGCATGAACTCAGGATCCACACACAGAAGCTGGGGCGGAGGAGGCCTTCGATGACGCCACTGCCACGGTAGCCTCTGCTCATCATTTCATCGCATGGAGGATGGAGCAAATGTTGTCGATGAGGTCCAGGCCTAGCGATAACCTCGCCTCCTTTGTGAACATTGGTGACACGATAGAAAGCGGAGAAGGGCGTAGTAGTGGTTTTTTCCCTCTCCCCACGTAGTACAAACACGGTGAGCTGCTCCGCTCAATTCTTTCGTGGAGCAGGTGGCAAAATCACCGTTTGACAACATTCCTTGGCTTCTCTCACGTAGAGCATAGCGAGAGGAGCACCACCAAACACTCTCTAAACTGGAAAGAGCATTGTCAAACAGGCGACATAGATGTAAAACATGATGATTATTGTTACATAGATTGAGTTATACTCCCTCGGTCCATAAAAAAAAATGCAATTCTCGCTTTTCGAGAAGTCAGATAGTTCGAACTTTGACTAAATTTATATTAAAAGGTACCAACATTCATGATATGAAATAAACACCATTACATTAGTTATAGAATATATTTTCATAATATATTTATTTAGAGACATAAACATTATATATTATTTACTATAAGCTTTGGTCAAACTTAAGATACATTGACCAGCACGGATCCCTATATAATTACATTCTTTTGCGGATGGATTGAGTTATATTAGTTAACAGCAAGCCATGTCATGGGCAGATTTATAAGTTTATTACTGCCATACACGGAGTATATCACTGATATTATTATTATCATCAATACCTCTAATTGCGCCGATTTTTTACCGTCTTGAGGGAGGGAGTAATAATGCAATATATATAATGTTGCTTTAATTTAATAACTCGATACACATTCAGTTTCAGGTAGCAGGGTACATGCTGTAATAATCTAATAAAAAACAGAGCCATTTCGCTTGGCTTGCATTGCTACAGACAAATCCGGACACGCATACACGGGCTATAGTTGGGCTAAAGATGCGCATCGATCTGATGATGCACATGCGCAGTTTTGTCGTCGTCTACTAGCTGTTGACATGTGCCATGCTCATGCTGGTCTTCTTATTTCTTGCCTCGACAATGGCAAGGAAAGGAAAGGACGAAAGACGAACGGCGGTGGACGATTAGCACTGAAGAACAACTCGGACACGCCTCGTTCAACCACACTTATTCACGCACTTGACTACTAGCAGTAGCAGCCAGCAGCTCCATCGCCAACACTCACATGTTTGGCTTCATGTTGAGCCGGGTGGCAATCTTCATCCCCAGCGATGCGTCACACTGCATAGTAATATAGTAATTAGTAACTAATAATCTTCATTCACCATGCATGCATGTATACTTGGGGTGATTACCTTTGAGAGGAGGTCGATCCAGATGGACCTCAGCTCCTGGCTGACCTTGGGGTGACCAAGCGAGTCAGCAAACCGCCGGACAAACCGCTCCTGCCGGTCGGCGTCCCAGGACCGGTACCTCTCCCCAGGCTGCTTGAAATCATTCGGCTTCCGTATCCTGGCCTTCTCCCTCTTCCCCACCACCGGCCTCGCCGGGACCGGCACCGGCGGCGCCTGCCGGAGCGGCGCGTGCCTGGACGGGTAGTAATCCACCTCCTCGTCCCGGTGCATGAAGTTCATGGCGCCATCGTAGTGGTTGTTATGGTGCGCGCAGCGCGGCGCGTTGACGGGGAGCATCAGGTAGTTGGGCCCCAGCCTGTACCGCTGCGTGTCGGCGTACGCGAACACCCGGCACTGCAGCATCTTGTCGTCGGAGTAGTAGATGCCCGGCACCACCAGCCCCGGCCCGAACGCCAGCTGCTCGTTCTCGTTGAAGAAGTTGTCCACGTTCTTGTCCAGCACCAGCCGCCCCACGGGCTGGAGCGGGAGGAGATCCTCCGGCCATGTCTTGGTGTCGTCGAGAGGGTCGAAGTCGTACTGCTCCTCCGTGTCCGGGTCCATCACCTGCACGAATAGCTTCCACTCGGGGTAGTTCCCGGCGGCGATGGAGTCGTACAGGTCCTGCGTCGCGTGGCTGTGGTTCCGCCCGCCTACCAGCACGGCTTCCTCGTCGGTGAGGATGCTCCGGACCCCGCACGTCGGCTTCCAGTGGAACTTCACGTAGTGCGCCTTGCCGGCGGCGTTGACGAAGGTGTAGGTGTTGACGCCGAAGCCCTCCATGTGGCGGTAGTCCGTCGGCACGCCGACGTCGTCGAAGAGGAAGAAGAAGGTGTGGAGGCTCTCCGGGAGGTGCGACAAAAAGTCGAACACCCGCCAGTACTCCTGCACGTGCGACTTCGGGTTGGGCTTGAACGCGTGGATCACGTCGGGGAACTTGATCCCGTCGCGGATGAAGAAGACCGGGAAGTTGTTCCCCAGCAGGTCCCAGTTGCCCTCCCGGGTGTAGAACTTCACGGCGAACCCGCGCGGGTCGCGGATCGTCTCCGGCGAGCCCCGCTCGTGGATCACCGTCGAGAAGCGGACGATGACCGGGGTGCGGACGCCCGGGGCGCGGAGGAAGTCGGCGCAGGTCAGCGACGTCACGTCGTGGGTGCACTCGAAGAAGCCCTTGGCGGAGGCGCCGCGCGCGTGGACCACGCGCTCCGGGATCCGCTCCCGCGCGAAGTGCGCCACCTTCTCGATCAGGTGGTAGTCCTCCAGCAGGATCGGGCCGCGCGGGCCCACCGTCAGCGCCTCGTTGTCGTTCCACACCGGCGCTCCCGCGTTCGTCGTCGTCACCGTCGTGTCGTGGCTGCTCGACGGACGGAACTGCATGTATGTATATATGTATGATATATATATATATATATATATATATGTACATATATATAAGTAAGTTTATAAAAATCAACAAGGTAGCTTATTAGATAGTTAGCCATGGAGGAGCTAGGAAGAGGAAGCTTGAGCTCACCTTGGTGGGATCCATTGTGATTCTGCTAGTGATCGAAGTGTGCAGTGTTGGAGAGTGGAGGAGTGTGGCTTACATACTCGCTCTCCAAATCTTTTGCTGCTTAAATAGCGGCGAGGTGAGGAGTGGCGTGACCTCCCACCGGTGAGCTCGCCGGCTCCGGTGACCACCCACTGCCAAGTGGGCCCGCCGATAAGACAAGGGATGAGGTGGCAGGGACCCACCTCGTGTGGAAACTTTTAGGCCATCTAGATTGCTGACGCCTAGCTAGGTACACGATAGAGCACGGCATTTGCATTTCTTGGTCTGAGGTGGCCCGGGGAAATCTCGAGGAGATATGAGGATCGGCATGCATCCCTGTCGTCGTAGACTCGCAGTACGTGATGATAATCCACTCCCAACAACATGGCTAATCTTGACTAGTGTGTCAGTGTGTGGGGATGGGGTAATTAGCGTACATGATTAGTCTCTCAAAAGCTCATTAGTGCGTTAGTGAGTCACCACTAATGTATAGTGTGTGGTTGATTGCCTCTTATTAGGAAAAAAACACATGTATATTTATGTAATTTAAGCTTGACTCTAAATGAAAAACAACCCACAATATTGAATTATCGACAAAAGTAAATGACTGAAAATCGTCCGGATTTCCTACAACCAAACAAGATCCCTGTCGTGCTTGCCTCAAACGACACGATAATACCAAACATGTGAAGGCGTACACATCCCTGTCATGCTGGCTGGCTAGAAGTTAAGGGTCCGTTTGGTTGGGCTTTTGGCTCCAAAAACTAAAAGCCTAACAAAATGAGCTGCTTTTGGAGGCTGCTTTTTCAGAAATAACTATTTTTCGTAGTACATTTTTAAAAGCTGGTTTGACCCTACTTTTGCCTTTTGACTTTCTGCTTTTCGAAATTGGTGGAATAAAAAACTCTTCCATAGTTGTTTCAAGAGAGATAAAGATAGAAGGTATATTTTATACTTGTTTAACTAAACAACTTTCAGCTTTTCTACAGCTCACAGCCCACAACAGCTTTCTCACAGTTCATAGCCCACAACAACTTTTGTCCACAGCCACAGCTCAACTAAACACACCCTCAAGCAGGCCCAAGGCAGCCAAGCTACCAATCACGTCCTATATGAATGTTGCTTCTATCATCCGACTTGTCTCTTACATTGCTTAACTTGGCATCATGATTCCCTTGTCTAAATGTAAAGGGCTACGGTACCCATCAAGATTAATTAAGAGTCTCTTCATCAAATAATGTAAAACTAAATTATTTCTTACTTTAGTCAATGTAATCATATCCTACACATGCCAACATTTTGATAAGTTTGGCGATAACTTGTTACATATTTTGTACAACATTGGCTAGATTTAATTTTGCGTTATCAAGCAAGTCCAGGGGGATCATGAGACATTAGTCTAACTTGCCTAGAGGTGATAAATTTTATGTTGTGGTGAATAAGCAAAGGCTTTAACTACTTATTAGGTGGGCTTAGACAACCGGTGATCGGCATATATAGTGAGAGACACATCACTATATATGGATAAGAGAAAAATGGTAGATGGCGCACATTATTGTCTGTCAATTTTAGATCACGCGGAGGACCCCGCGTCGTCTCCCGTGTGAGGTGACTCGGGGGGCGACAACGCGCCCCACCGAGCACCCCCCCGCCTCCGGCTGCTCCCTGGCCGCCGCTGCCGCTCTCCGGCGAATGGCGGTGGCGGCTCGCGTCGGCGCTAGTGTGGGTGACCGTCCGCCCCCCCTCCCCTCCCCTCACTCCTCTTCCCATCCCCAGAGCTTCAAACCCGGTCGTCTTCTCCAACCCCGGTGGTGGTCGCTGCCGGCCTTCTGAGGCCAGATCCGGCCATGCCTCCGCCTAATCTACTTGTCCCGACGCCGGATCTGCCTCCTCCCACTCCATCCCCTGCACCCTCGATGGGGAAGAAGTGGTGGGACTTTGGCCCACGCCAGGGGTCACTCGAAGGCTCGCGCATGCTCCCCCTACACCCCGCCCCCGGCACGCTTGGCTATGGACAGGGCGGCGGCGGCCGGTCGAGCCGGCCAGGTCGTCTGTGGCCCCGGTGGCAGGTGGGGGCTATTAGGGCCGCGTCTTCTTCATGCTTGCCTGGCATGCGGCTGGCCGGGAGGCCAGCGCCCTCGGCGGCTTGTAGCGGTCAGGCTTGCCCCCGTCCGTGGCCTATGATGACTGCGGCCACCCGGTGGCGGCCTGGAGCCATGCGGGAGTGGGTCCGGGTGGACATGGACATGGTCAGCTGATGCCCGCCGAGCTGCCTATCCCACGTGGATTCTGCTGGGTGTCTAGTGTCTATGGCCGTCCCGTGTAGTCGTGCAGCCCCCTTCCTGCGTCATGGGTGGTTTGGTGCTTGGCGAGAGCCTTGTCGTTGGCTGACGATGGCGACGCTCTTGGAATGTCGTTACCCTCCTTGGAGGCATCTATCGTTGCACCTTCCTTCGTGGATCTTCTGGGTGAAAACCCGTGTGGCAGAACCATCTAATCTAATGCCTCCCAGGAGTGCTCGCCTTCCATTAGACACAAAGCACTCAAGGGAGAACACTAAATTACACAGTTTCATCGGGCACACCACAGGGGAGAACCCAAAAATCCACATTTTTCATCAGATCACAAATGAGAGAATAAAGCTTATATCATTCTTAACCATTCCTTACATCACTTTTAATACAACATCAAAATATAATAGTTATTGTATAACAACGGAATATAGTCATATTATCAGAGTTATGAACAATTTAAGTTACAGCGGAATATAAACATGTTATCAGAATTACAGCGGAAATAAATATCTATTCATGACATGATGAAGCATTGATATATAAACTATGACAACATATTATAAAACTTCTGTTTATAAAAACATTTGGTGAGAGTTATAAAATAAAACTATGATCGCAGCGTAAAGAAAATCCTCTATGAGCCCACCAGGTGAAATCCACACACAAAGGTCAGCTCTAGCATCCACCTGTCACCTGCAGCAGGGGGAAATAAAACCCTGAGTACTCAATTGTACTTAGCAAGACTTACCCGACAGGAGGAAAGAAAAGACTCCAAGGATATGCAAGGCTATCTGGCTTGTGGGTTTATTGCATCTACAGGAGCATTACTAAAAGTGCATCCTTATATTTGATTTTTATTAGCAGTGCATTAGTTCATTAACTAACCATTCTATATAAGCACCCGTGCTACTTTCAAGCAGGTGGTAAGCAATCAGATTTCCTTTTTCCATCTTTCATCTTCCAGTTCTTACTACGGTGCTAGAGTTAACACAAGTCGTACCGGAACGCCAGCGATTCATGAATCAATGCCCCCAGCTGTGTAACACCTCGGGTGTTTAAAATACTAAAACCTGACATGTCATCATATGCATTGCAAAGCATTTGGCATTTGGTGAAAACTTTGAGATGCATACACTAAAACAAGTTTATATTCATGTGGTATGTGTTGAATTGTATTGGTTGACTCTAGTTCAAAGTTTGTTTTTGGAGTTTTTCAAGTTGTTTAGAAAAATTTTGAGTAATTCAAAAAGGCGTAATTCGTTAAATTTCCCTATTCAAATTCAAAAGTTCATTTCAAAATCTAGACCGAATTAGGAGATGGTTATAGAAGCAAAGTAGTAGAACTTTCGATTTTGAACAACTTTTGTTTTTAGAGATTTTTGAGTTGTTATGAAAATTTGAGAGTAATTTGTGAATTTTGGCGTATGGCAATTTTGTAATTTCTGTGAACAGTGTTCACCGCCTAAGCTACATTGCCGTCGGACCTTCTTCGGTGTTCCAGGCGCGTCGTGGCCGTCCTTGCTGTCGTGCTGGCACGGAAACGGCTCCGTCGTGGCTTCCTTGAGCTTCTGCGCCGCGCTATAAGTACCAAGACGTCGTCATCGTCGTTTTTCTTCTTCCTTTGTTTTCACCACCGCCGTTGTCATCGCTCCAACAAGCTCGCATCGTCTCCCCAGCGCTGTTGCCATCTCGGTAAAGGCCGTCCTAGTTCCGTCTTTTCCTTGCGAATCCAGCCAGCTATCATTGGTCGCCTGAAATTGCCGAGAACTCGCTGTCCACGTTTTTCTTCCTCGAGGTCAGCAACTTCACCGCCAAGCGGCGTGTCATCGTGGCGAGCCCTTCGGTGAGCCGTTGTTCATAATCGTCGGTGTACTTACGGCTTCGTTTCGATGCTGTAGTCCTTAGTCAGTTGTTGTTTACTCATTTTGATCACTGCAGTTGCCGGTTCTCCCTCACCGACGATCTTTGCTCCGCATAGTTCACCGTAGTGGTCGGATAGTTCACCGTAGTGGTCGGATAGTTCACCGTAGTGGTCGGATAGTTCACCATAGTGGTCGGATAGTTCACCAAAGTGATCGGTGCTGGCGTGATCACATCAGTTACGAATGTGGTTTGGTTAGTTTGGTTTGTAACTGTACTACGAAGGAAAATTGTATCCAATTTATTAATTTTTGCATCCATCATCGAGCATCATGTTTCATATTCCGCATCATGTTAAACATGGCAATGTTACTACGTGTAGTAAACGAAGGTGAACACGTGGTAGTTAATCAAGTTGCGGAGGAGGTTGATCTGTCTGTTGAGGTCGGATCGAAGACTTGTGAAACGTCGCAGGAGCCGGACTTTTCCGTCAACGAAGGCAAGCCCCGGATGCATACAACCCTACCTTGTGTTTTACAAATTAATTTCGCTTTTGCTTTCCGTTACTGCATTAAGTGATTAAGAATTAAGTAAGAGCCTAATTGGTGCATTACCACCCTTGTTATTCCATATTTACTCTATTACCAGTTTTGAACTCGTATATGCCTAGTTTTGCTTAGCTATCGTGAAACGATGAAGTCGGTGACTACCGCCACCGCAAGTTTTAAATGGAACATTGGTTAATTATGTTAGCATGTGATATGGGAATGTGGAGTAATAAATCTAGACCTGGGCGGACTCGGTGTGTGTGAGCCACAAGACATGGAGGTCTTGTGAGCGGGATCTTTCCACTGTGTCGATTAAGGCACGTCCGTTGTTGAATTGCATGAGGTGAGAATTTGTAGTACTAACCACATACTCCGTAAGCTTCTGAACTTGGTAATTCTATTACGAGAATGGCTACTCTCATGACCGGGAGTGGAGAGATGGCGGAATAGCGTTTACCCACGTGGCAATGGAAATTTGGATTGGTGGAGTCTTGTATTCTCGGGTGGCGCGGACCCGTTCTTGTTTTAGAGGATCCGAGAATAGGTTGGTATATGTAGGTCGGGACCTGCATATG